TTTATTTTTGAAAAAAGTTTAAACTAACATTGAAAATAAAATTTCTAAAATGTATTTATTTAGATTGAATATAAATTATAATAATTATTAAAATAATAACATTAAAAATAACACATAAAATATTATTTAAAAAATAATAATTATAATAATAGATTTATAAAATTAATTTAACACCTATGATATTTATGTTTAAAATTTTTTATTATGTACTGTATATATATATAAATCATAATTTTATATATAAATATATTTAAACTATGTATTATAAATAGTTATAATTAATTTATAAATAATTTATATTTAAATTAAACAATGTAATAAAACAAAATTATCATGGTTAAATTTTTGTTTATTTGTTTTTTTTAAATGCACCAATGTAAAACACACACATATATATATATATACTATTGAATAATAGGAATACCAGGTATACCAACAAACATAATGCACGTAATTATTTTATGCGCAACACAAACACACATACACACTGATACACACACACACACACACACACACACACAYACACACACTGATACACACACACACACACACACACACTGACACACACACACACATACACATACACACACACATACACTACAATACATTAGACCAACAAAAAAAACATGTATAGACAGACAACACCTACTTTTATGACTACTATTACTACTACTACTACCAGAATAATAGGCGCACAGAATATTCTCTAATACATAGTGTACTACAGTATATATATATACAGTATATATTAAGCACAGTTAGCTCAGCTATATATATATATATATATATATATATATATGTATATACTGTATATATATATAAGCTCAACCAGTGGTGTTTTTTTGTTGACTATACAGCTGCTATCGTGTGTATGTTAGGTTAGGTGACTTATATACTGTATAATACTGTATATTAATAATGGTGTGATACCTATTAACTTAATTTAGATAAATAAATAAATATCAATATTCTGTATATATTTAAAAAAATTGTTTATTTAATTTTATTTAGTTTTTTATTGTACTTTATATATATATATATACAACTAAATACTAAATCAATCAATCAATAAATAGTTGATAAATTTTTGTTTGTGTTATCCACATATCTAATTGATAATAATAATAATAATAATAATAATAATAATAATAATATCTATCCTATTGTTACCTATTATTACTGTATTGTGATATATATTATATTAGTATTATAATAATAATAATATTCATTGTTATATTGATTTTATTATTGCAATAAATAATTTTAAAAAAATATTCTGTTATATGAAAAATATATATTATATACAACACACACACACACTGTATATAAATAATTTATATTAAATAATAATAATAATAATAATACTAAACAATCAACCAATCAATCAATATGTTTAACACTAGCTTATGGTCACACTATCGGCAACAGCGGCTAAAAAAACAACGATCCGCCGATACTATTGATGTCAACCGTATTGTTGTTACCCATGAATACCTGGCCACCGGTGACGATACCACCAGCACCGGTAGGTGTGGCGGATCTATGACCGGTATACTACCCCTACTAATCTATATGTCCATTATAATTGTGATCGGCATCATTGTTACCGCATTGTTCATCTACTATGATAAAATCTATGGCCATAGTAATATGACTATTATTTAAAATTATTAATTAATTAATTATAATAAATTAATTATAATAAATTAATTATAATAAATTAATTATAATATTTAAATTAATTTAAATAATTAATTATGATAAATGATAATTATCAAAAACTATTGAAACTTATATATATATATATCAATATACATGTACATATATATAATGTACTGTATAATTGATTATTGTTGAAAGAAAATAAAATTATTGATTAATTATTATTATTATTATTATTATACATATATTTTATATAATTTTTTAAAAAAAAAAAATAATTTATTGAATTATGTGTTTCATTAATTATTATTATTAAATGTAATATAAATATACATTTTTTTTATTATTATGCCTAACATGTTATTTGCTGTCAATGTTATATAAAAATTTATATATATAAAACTGTTTGCCATTAAATTGAAAATATTGTTAGTTTATTATTATTATTATTATTATTATTATTAAAAACAACTATTTATATGTATTTATATGTATTTGAAAAATTTTGTTATTATTATTATTATTATTATACTGTATATCTTTATGATATATATGAAAATATTTGCAATTTTTTTTAAAATGTTATTTATATGATATAAAGCACACTGTTTTCTACTGGCATTTAATTATATTTATCTATTATTAATAATAAAATTATTTTATAAATGTTTTTTTATATAATATTATATATATATATAAATTTTTAATTTGTTTACCAGCAAAAATGTAATTAATCCTATTGTTATAATTTATTTAAAAAAATAAATAAATATTATTTAATAAAAATGTTTTTAAATTTATAAATTTATTAAAAATTTATTAATAATAATAACAAAATTTTTGAATATTTACTTATAAATCTATATTATTGTTATGAATATTATATTTCAAACTAAAATAATAATTAATTTTTTTATAATATTAATATCTAAATTTAATTATTTATTAATAATTATCTAATATTTTTATTTTTAATAATAAATTACAACAAAAATCAATTAATTATATTTTAAGATATTTTTTAAACAAATTTAATACATTTTTCATATAGACTTTTGTACGACTAAACCAATTACTATCGATTTTTTCCTTATTATTATTATTATTATTATTATTATTATTGTTATTATTGTTGAATGTTTTATAATGAAACACATAATGTGTATTATTTGTTAGCTGTGAGGACACACCTATTAAAAATATAACCAAAAAAAATAATAATAATACAAAACAGTTAGTAAACATCAATTTAATTATTTAGAAAAAAATAATAAATGAGAAAATAAATATTTAGTATATTAAAAAAATATATATTATATTATATATTAGTAAAACTAAATTACTTAACTGTATATTAATATATATATATACAGTATATATAATATTTTACAAACAAAACAAACCGTTTGTAGGCATATGTTGGCCATTACTGTCCAATTGATAGACAAACCAATAGTTCATTTCCTTGGGATTTTCAGCTAACTGTCCAATTGAGTCTACATAGTAGCCCATACCTGGATAGTGTCGACCGGTAAACCTGTATTCATCCCTATGTATGAGTGCCGATATCTTCAATGCATCCATAATTGTCTGGTTTTTAGCCATCAATAGCCTAACCGTATGGACAGTCGTATTGTTGTTGTTGTTATTATTATGGATTTGTTTGCTTAATCTGATTGCATAACTATTGTTGGTTTTGTTGGTATGATTTTTAATGGCTGTTATTTATTTAATTAAATAAATTATTTATTTTTTAATTAATTATTAATATTGTAGATAATATTTTAGTATTTTTAAAAAAAAATAATAATGTTTATACTTTACCATTATCTAACATTAAAACATAATTTAGCTGGTTCACAATTATTAGTATAGTTATTATTATTATTGTTATTATATATTGATTTATAAATTTTAATAAAAACATTTTTAAAATTTAATTATTTAATTATAAACAACTTTTTTTTTATTAATAATTTTTTAGTTTTCTAGTTATTTAATAATAAATATTAGTTTTTTTTGGTGAAAATATTATAACTGTTTATTATAACAACTAAATTACAACAAATATAAAGTAAGCATTTTTTTATTTAGTTAATATTTAATCATTTAAAAAATACTGATAATATATTTTTTTGGTTAAATAGATAAATACAATGTTTAAAATTGAATTTTATATATATATATACAGTATATATAACTTTTAAAAAAATATTATTTAACATACTGTACATAAATTATAAAATTACAAACATTTAAATAAATAAAAAAAAATATTTAATAGTTTATTAACAAAACAGTGTTATATAATTAACTACAATATATTAATTAATTTTATTTATTTATTTAACTACAGTATAACTCATTGCTAGTATTATTAAATATATTGATAGCATTACTATAACTACATTAATATAATTAATTTTAATTATTTAAATTACTAAAAATTTATAATTCAGTTTATAAATATTTTATGTATTGAAAAAAAAATTTTCTACAAAAATAAAACTATTTATAACATTTGATATGATATGTTGTTTATACTTAATATTGTTATAGTGTAAATGTAATAAAAATTTTTTTTTTGTTTATTTAATTTTATATTAAATTATCACACATATTGATATTAGAGGGGGAGGGGAAAAAATTAAACAGTTATTTATATAATAAGTATTGATAATATAATTTTTTATTAGTTTATTAAATTATTAATGATATCTTAGTTTAAAATTGAAATTTGTTTCCATATATATATATATATATGGACTTTGCATATGTACTGTATGTGTATGTGTTTGTGTTCAATAGGTTTACATTATAAATAAAACTGACTAATAGATAATTAAAACTATTAAATATAGACAAATAGATAGATAAAGGTCAGGGAGTTTGTGTAAGAGAGAAATATATATATATATATATATATATATATATAGAGAGAGAGAGAGAGAGAGAGAGAGAGAGAAAGAGTTAATAATAAATAATAATTATTTTAGTATTTTAGTATATTTTTATATATTTTAGTATTTAGTGTATTTTAGTATAATTTTTTTTAGTATTCAAAAAATATTTTTAAATAAATAACAAACACATAACAAACAAACAAACAAAAAATAATAATAATTAGAAAACAATAATAATTTTCTATTTTATTTATATATAATATAATTATAACTTAATTAAAAATACAAAAAAAAATTAGTCAATCGATTCAACAACAAAAAAATAATAAAATAATTTTTGTTTTGTTTAATATTCAGCACAGTTAGCTTATTATTATTACTTAATATTTATATAGCTTCACTTAGTTTAGTTATCTATAGTTAGCTAACTGTCCTCATCATAGATAATTGTGCTGATTGTGGCCATTATCTTGTTTGATCATATCGGCACACTTTTCGCCGATCATTACCGACGCTGCATACGTATTGGCATTGATCAATAGGGGCATAATTGACGAGTCGCATACCCGCAGCCCGTGGACATGTTTGACACGACCGCGCGGATCGACCACTACGTCCGGCCGACGTGGATCACCCATACGGGCGCCGCCGACCAAATGCCAGCCCGACTTACCCGTCTGACGGATCAAACAATCAATATATTCGGTACATTCGTACAGTGAAGGGGACGACCCGTGCGGACAAAACTGACAGCCGGGTATCGGTTTGGCCAACGGCTGGACATATTGGCTGAACGATGAATGCAATAGTAGTTTAAACATAAATCGGATATTTTCGATAAGTAAGGCCCTGTCGTTCGGGTGCCGCAAAAATCCCTGATCAATGAGCGGCGGTACTAACATATCCGAGGATTGCAATCGTATTGAACCCCAACTCTGTACCCGATAGACATGCGGTGCAGTCATCGTCAGGAATTGGCCTAAATATGGCCGAAAATATTCACGCCATTCGGCCAACTGTTGTTCATTGCCCCACATTTCCGATACCTGCGAATCCAAGTTGAGGACATTCTGGACAATTGTATAGAAATACAGATCTGGCCAATCGGTTTGATTGTTTGACTGGCTGTTAATGTATGTAATACTATCGGAGGCGTAGGCCAACGGTCCCGATCGGGTTGTCCACAGTTGATACATTTGCTCGATAGATAGTTGAGGTCCGGGTCCTCCGAGTCGCGGGTTTTTCAATACCATATGTATGCTGACTGCCGGGTGATCTTGGAGATTGTCGCCGACGGGCAGGTCGGCTATGACCGGTATGCCCAGTGAGGTCAGATGATGACCGGGGCCGATACCCGATACCATCAGCAGTTGCGGTGTACGGACCACACCTGCAAATAATTTCAATAAGAAAGTCATATACAGTATATATTTTAAAGGATATAATATAAGTTAAATAAAATTAATTGTAATAAAGTTTTTTTTAATAAAAAAAATAATTATTATTTAGTAGGATTGCCACCACTGTGTGTGGGTGTGTGTGTGTGGGTGTATATATAAGTATTTAATTAATTTATTGGAGTAATAAACTAGAAATAAAATGTTTAATAAATGTAAAATATTTTTTTTAAATGCATCCTGGTGTTTAATTTATCCAATGTTATAAAAAAATAATTATGATTATTTAAACAAATTAAGTTTTTTTAAATAAATAAAATAAAATAATAATATACAAAAGTATCTAGCACATATTTTTTTTGATAAATATTTTTTTAAATAGTTATATAACATTTTGAATAGGTTTTTTAAAAACAACCTTGGACATTTAGTCAGCTATTAGACTACTATACTATATACAGTATATGACTACTGTTATTATCAATTACATACCGGCGCACAGTATAACCTCTTTACGGGCCATAACCGTATGTTTGATACCATCCCTTAAATATTCGACACCTATAGCCCGGGGTCCGTGGGTTGACTGTGCAAACAATATTTTCGTAACAAACGAGTAGACCAGTATGTTTAGGTTGTCTACAAACAAACAAACAATAGTTAAAAAACTTATACTACTACAAAACATGACTGACCCCTCACCCACACACCCCTACCACCCAAAACCCAAAACCTACCGCTATGTGGATTGGGATCAATATAGGCATTGGCAGTACTCGATCGTAGGCCGTCGGCAGCGGTCGACTGGGCAACAGTAGTACCCAATTGATTGGCACCGTTAATATCTAGTGATTGTATACCCAATTCATTCAATGTTTGTGTCCACAGAGCCAACAGTGGGGCCGGTCGCGGGTCGCTACTCACCCGTAGCGGTCCCTGAGTTCCGTGAAACCCGGGATTGTTGGCCAGAACCAGCCGATCGGAATTATTCTCGGATTTCATAAAATACGGCAACACTTCCTCATAGCTCCAGCCTTGGGCACCGTAACTGTAGACCCAGTTATCAAAATCGCGTCGATTTCCCCGATTATAGATCATACCGTTGATTGCTGAGGAACCGCCCAATCGTTTACCATTGTTGGTGTCCATTACGCCGCCGGTAAAATATTTTTGCGGTACCGACGGATCGCGCCAATCAAACTCCGGATTATCGATGAGGACTTCGGCCATACCGGGTATGTCCGATAGTACCGATTGTTGGCCACCGGCTTCCAACAGTAGTACATAGTTATCAGGGTTTTCGGTCAGTCGCATGGCTATGGGTGCACCCGAAGCACCGGCACCGACAACCACATAGTCGTACTCAGAGAAACGTTGTTTTTCGTCCAGCAGTCGATTGTAGCGCATCTGCCTATCGATCTGTATCATCGATATTGTCAGCAACTGTAGTATAAGAGTGGGTGCCGTTATAAACGAAACCATTATTTTTTAATTAATTAATTAACTTATTTTAATTAATTAGTTAATTAAATTATTATTATTTTTAAAAAAAATATTCACATATATAACTTTTTTTTTAAATAAATAATTATTATAAATAATTTTAATTATTATTTAATTATTTATTATTATTAATAATTTTGATGATGATGTTGATGATGATTATTATTATTATTATGTAATTATAATAATTTTTTCAAAAAAATAAATAAATATTATATTATAATAACAAAACAAAAATAGTTTTTTTCAATTTGTAAAATATATAGAAAATATTTACACACAAATTATATAAATATATATTTACACAAAAAATATTACATTTAATATATATTACAAGTATTACTGTATTATTATTATTATTATTATAACAATAGATTTTTAGGGAGAGGGGAAAAAATGTTATTTTATAAAAAAATTTTACTAATTAAAAAAATTAAATATTTATTTTATTTAAAGCAGCATGATTTTTTTATAAAAGTGTTAATTAAATTTATAAAATATAATAATAATAATAATAATAATATACTGTATAATGAAAACAGTAAATAGTTTTATATTTTAACACTAAATATATGATAAAAGCAATACTACTTTTACTACAATAACTATTTTAAATAATATACTAAATGCTAGAAATCATGGGATTAATAATATTTTATTATAAAAAAAATAATAATAAAATTAAATAAAATTAATATTAATATTAATTACTAATACCAAAAATAAGGGGGAATATGGGGGGAAAATGTGGGCTATGGCTGAAACTGCTTATTATGTCAAATATAGGTATATCCCTTCCCCCCCCTATTACAGGTAGTAATTGTAGACAGTTATGCTTAGGGGGGGGGATTGGTATCGCCCACTACTACTAGCCCTCAGTTAGTTTGGTTACGCCCTTTAATGAATTTATTTAATATATTTTTTTAATAAAAAAAACAATAAATAAAACTATTTTATATTAGATTTATTTTTTTTATGTTATAAAATTAAATACTCTCTATTTGTAAGATAATCTGGCAATTACTGGTACATACAGTATCTAATAGTAATAAAATTTTATTCATTGTTTTTTTTTAATTTTATTTTTTACTCTCTCTCTCTCTCTCTCTCTCTCTCTCTCTCTAAGTTTTATATCATAATTATTTTTATTATTGATTTTTTTTTGTTGTTGGTTTTATTTCAACAAATAACTAGTTTTTTAAGAGAGAGAGAGAGAGAGACCTTTCCCTTAACTAGAAAAGCCTTGCCTTTTAATATAATAATAATAATAATAATAATTGTTTGATTAAAACACACAATTATTGTATAAATAATTTTATTTAAATAAATATATTATTATATATTTATAAAGAATTTGGATTAAATTTTTATGTTTTTGTTGTGTTAAATAATTAAACAAAATTTTTTTTTTTTATTTAAATATATTATAATTATTATATTATAATTATTATATTAAACTAAAGTTTGCTTAAATACTGATTAAATTTTTGTATTATTATTATTATTATTATTCAAACCGCTTGAGGGCCTAATCGATATTGTGGTTAATTTATCTATTATTTTACAATTTATTTTATATTATATTTATAATAAATACCTTAATATTGGAAATTTGACAATAAATTTATTGTTTTTTTTGTTGATAAATGTGTTAATATATAGTATATTTGATTTTATTTTCTAGTTTAACATTAATTTATTATTTATTGTATTTATTGTATTTATTTTTATTTTTTTTGGTGTACTCTAAATGGTAATTATAAATAAATCTATCATATTGTTTAAATATATTTTAAATTATATATTATATATATAAGTTAACTTGACATTATTTAAATATTTTTTTTAACTGATATAAAATTATTACTAAATAATTGATTATAATTTTTAATAACAATTTTTTTGAATAACATTTGAAAATCTAGATTTTAATTTTTTTTTAAATTTTAATAAAATATTACAAAACTATAATTTTATTTTATAATCAATGATACATACATACAATATATATGATATTTTATTAGCAAATTTCAATTGAATATTATTTATTAAATTTTTATTTTAATAAAACAACAACAAAATCGATTCAATGAACAAACAAAATATATATAGTTTTATAAAACTTTTTAAAAGTTTATATTTATATAAAACTAATTAATTATTATTTATAAATATAATAATAATAATAATACTGTATTATAATTATACTAAATATATAGTAAATAAAAAATAATAATAAATAGTTTCCGATGTTTATTATTGATAAATACTGTATAATTAAAAAATCAATGAACTTTTATATAGAAAATATATATATATATTAAAGTTTTTTTTTATTATTATTATTATTATATTTGTTTATCTTTTTTTTATTTTGTTTAAGTAATAAAATTTATTTTCGATTAAAAGATATCTTACATTAACTTTAAGTATTAACTATCGGTATATTTATTATTAATATGAAATAATATTAGTATTGAAAACTATTTATAATATTATTAATAAATACATATATATATTACACTAAATACTTTGACATACATTTTATAATATTTTATATATTTAATAAAAAAATTTAATTCAAAAGTATCCAGGTAAACTGTTATTATATATATTATAATTTTTTAGCTTACATTATATAATTAACTGATTGCTGACTAAATTAAATAGTCATTAACTAAATTGTTAGAAATTATTTTATTTTAATTTTATTTTTTATATAACATACTTATTAAATATTTTCCCCCAAAAAAATAGAAAATAATTTACTAATAAAAATAAAAATTAATTAAAAAAAACTTAAATAAAAAATATAAAAATGTTTGTTACAAAATATTAGTAGCTATTTAGTCAACAATAGTTTAGGTAACTATTGTTAACTATCGCATAATAATAATAAACAATAAAAACATTTAAAAATGTAAAAATAATATACAGTATATTGTTTTTATTATAGCAAACATTTTATTTGATAATAAAATACCAACAAAAAAAATAATTATGAATTTGATGTATTTGTTTGATAATTATCGTAACTTTTATATATATATATATTAACCGTAAATAAAACATAATAATTGTATTATTATTTTTTTTTTAAATATAAATATAAATATATTATTGTTATACAATGTTATTATATTATTTAAAAATTTAATTTATGCATAACAGTTTATATAATTATTTTAAAAAATGTTATATTAAAAAAATATTTTAGTATTTTTATTATTTTTATTGGTATGTTTTAGTTAAAAACAATATAAAACAATATCTATCAATAAATTAGTTGTTTTTCCGTAAACAATACATTTGTTTTGTTATTTATTTATTTATTTTTTTAAAAAAATAAAAAGTTATTTAATTTAATATATATATTAAACAATTATAATATTACACATTAAATTTTATTGTATATAATTATAATATTAATTTAATAATAATAATAATAATTGAATTTTACTGTTTAATAGTCTATTAAAATGCAATAACACTTAACACAATAGATACTGTTTATTATTATTATTATTATTATTATTATTATATGTATTAAAATAATTATCATATAAATACATTGTTTTGTTATTTATTTATTTATTTTTTTGTGTATATATATAAATTATTTAAATATATATTATTTAAACTTGAAAATTTTAATATAATATTTTTTATTATTTTTTTTTGTTCAATGATATTATTATTACTGAAATATTTAGTAATAAAATATATAAATAATTTTTTGTTTTATACAATAATACAAATGATATTTCATAATCCATAATAAATCTCTATTTTAAAAAAAATATTTTTCAATATAAATATAATAATAATAATTTAAATATACAATAAATTATTATATTATTTTTAAAATGGTTTTTTTAATGCAATCATTTATTAAGGCAATGTGTGTTTGATTGTGCTATAGATAATACATTTAAATAATTATATTATTATTATAAAATTATTGCTTTAAAATGTTGATTAACTATTTTTAACTTAGTTTTTATTAAATAATAAAAAGTAAAAATTTAAATATTATTTTGCACACAAAAAAACTAACAACAAAATAAAAACTAGAAAATTTGGAGCAAATTTCAAAACAAATAATTTTAAAATAATTTTAAATAAAAAAAAACAATAAGAAAAGTAAAAACTTTTCAATAGCTTTTAGTTATAAAAATATTTGGAAAATTTTTTAACTAAATTATATCCAATGACTAATATAATTATCTGAATATACTGTATATATGTATATATATATATATTTTTTATTAATATTAAAATAATAATCATGTGTTTTTGATTTTAATATTAATATTTTAATAATTATGATATATATACTGTATATATATATTGAAAGAGAAAAAATTGGATCAAATAATTAAAAATAACAAAATTTAAAATTATTATCATAAGAAACTTTATATATTAATAAAAAAAATTTTTAACAAAAATAAAGTCATAAAAATTACTATTTTATATTAGTTATTTTTCGTCTATTTTTAAATTATAATAATATCTATAAATTTAATTAATGTATATATTGTTTGCTGTTTAGTAAAGTTATATATATATATATATATGAAAAAAGTTTTAACTAATTTAGAAATTTACTTAAAAATTTTTTTAGATAATTATCTATTAATTTTTATTATTAGAGAAATAAAAACATTTATTTAAACAGCAATTAACATGTTTTCAATGATACATTATAAATGTTAACTAAAATTAAATAATTTTTTTACAAAAATAAATGCTTATTTTAATTTTTTTAACAAAATTATAAAATACATTAACATTAATAATAATACGAAATAAATATATAATATAAACATTTTATTTGTTTTTTCATAATGACATTTTGACTGATTTTTATTTAATTAAAATAAAAAATAAATAATATTAATATTATCAATTAATTTTATCGATTTAATTTTATTGAAAAAAATTATGTACAAGTATAAATCATTATATATAATATTAAACACCGAAATTAATTAATATATAATTTAATGACAATTTTTTTCATTATTATTTATATTAAAAGTTTTTTTTAAAATTATTACAATAATTTATTACAAGTAGTATATAAAACATATCCGCCATTTGCATATCTATTAAATAATATTTTTTAAGTACCTAGATTATTTTTTAATAAGGAAATTTATATTTGATAAATTATCTATACACTAAATCACATCAATAATAATAATAATAATAAACCTAATTATCTAAATATATTTATTTATTAAAATTTATTATTATTATTATTATTATTATAGATATTTAAGTTAACAATCATTTATAAAAATAATAATTCTAATAATAAAATTTGAATTAATTATTTTCTAATATTATAATTGTTTTATTTTTTTTTGAAATAAAATTAATTGCTTATCAAAAGAAAACGGGAATATATTTAAATTTTTAAATATAAAAATTATTTTCAATTTATTTTATTTATGCAAAATCATGGGTGTTATGCTATTATAATCTAAAAAATTAATAATAATTTTATATATGATATCTATATAATACTAATACTAAAACTTGTTAATTAAATCTTATTGTTTTTTTTTGTTGAAAATCATTAGATAATATATATAATAAACTTTTAAACTTTAATGAGTTGAGAAATACATGTATTATATATACAGTATATTTCAAAATTTATTTATTTGTTGTTTAAAAAAATACAAATAAACAAAAATAACAGTAATATTTATTTTTTAAAATAAATCATTAAATCATATTTATAATAATAATAATAATAATATCAATAATATCAAACTACTGTATTTAAAATGCAAATAAAATTTTTAAATATATTTTACAATATTATTAATATATATATATTAATAATATTTATTTAATTTTGTAATACAGTATAATTATACAACAAAAATTACTAGATTTTTAATTATTATTAATTAAATTGTTAAATCTATAATCAATTTTATTATTAATATATATTATTTTTATTTTAAAAAAATATTATTGAGGTATAAATTTTATCTTGTTTATTTTTTTTATTGTTATTGTTATTATTAAAATTGTTTTTATAACTTAATTAATCTCAATTTATAATTATTATTATTATTAACGAGATATACAGTATATATATATAAATATTAATTATTAAACTAAACTTTTTTTTAAATTTTATTTTAGTTTTATATTTAATTTACATATATATACTTTATCATTGAAGATATTAATGTATACAATACTAAACTTAAGTTAATTATTTATTTTATAAAAATAAAATTTTTGTTTATTAATTAATTATGACATTTTGTTTATTAATTATTTTATTTAATATTACATATTATTATTACTATAATATTATTTTTTATACCATTGACTAACATAATGTGTGTCACCATTACTACTACTACTACTACTACCACTGCTACCACTGCTTATTGGTACTAACCTATCGCCATAGGTGCTGATCCCGGTGCTTATATCCCTACTACTACTACTACTATGACCACCATTACTACTACTACTACTACTATAGTCGCCTAGAGTATAGCTACTGCTGGCACTGACCTTCAACGGTACGGTATGTCCATCATCCATATTAGGATAATAGCCGTCATTATTATTATTATTGAGATGGTTGTCCTCAATAATCATATCGGCACACTTTTCACCAATTGCTATGACCGCTGCATTGGTATTTGAATTGGGTATCTCAGGCATTACCGAACCGTCGCATACACGCAATTGCTGGATATGTTTGACCCGCAAACGTGGATCGACAACAGTATCCGATCGGCGGGGATCACCCATACGATTGCCTCCGCCGTAATGATAGCCCGACTTACCAGTCATACGTATGAGACACTGGACATACGGATCGCAATCCCATAGCGGACGGCCATCCTTACAGTACTGGCAGCCGGGTATCGGTTGGGGTATCCAACGGATCCATTTGGCGAAGGTTGATGTCTGTAGGAAACGTAGTACCCATTTGGTTATGTCGACCATATCGGCATAATCGCGTGGATCGGCCAACATTCGCGGGTCAATTAATGGCTGGACGTACGGGTTTTTCGAGGCCAACCGTACGGTACCGAATGACCGACATATGAATAGATGGGGCGACGACTCCAATATGAAAGTATTGTTATACGGCTCGAAATATTGACGCCAAGCGGCCAAATAGGACGGAAATTCGTTGATCATTACGGCCAGATTGCCGTTATAGCGGGCCGTGGAGTAGAAAAAAACGTTTGGCCACTCGGGATCCGGGTTGGTCGACGAGCTCAAGTAGGTCATCGAATTGGTACCACGGGCCAGCGGTCCGGTACCGTTCAGATACAGCTGAAACAGTTGTTGGGTAGTCATACCGGCACCTGGGATACCAGTTACGCGCGGGTCGATTATGGTATGTATTGTCGATGCCGGATGATCCTGTATGTTGTCGCCGACGGGCAAGTCTAGCAGGACTGGTATCCCCAGTGATTCCAGATGTTTTCGGTGACCAATACCCGATAGCATCAGTATTTTCGGCGACATAACCACACCTAATATATTAGATAGGGTTTAGTTAACTATAGGATAAGTGTATGTAATAGTCTATACACTTACCGGCCGATAGTATGACCTCCTTTCGGGCCCTGACCGTATAGGTTTGACCTTTGCGATCAAATTTGACGCCCGTAGCCGTCAGACCACTACCACCACCACCATCACCTGTATGTTGTCCGTCAAACAATATTTGGGTAACATAGGCTTCGCATAGGATGTCCACGTTTTTCGGTCGCGGCGTCAGATAAGCGGTGGCCACACTCTGTCGGATACCGGCATCGATGTTGGACTGGGCTATCATAGTGCCCGCCTGTCGCGGGCCGTTAATGTCCAATCGGGGAATGCCCTTTTTTTTAACAAAAAAAAAACAACATTACGGTATACTATAACTACTACCCTACCCCCCTCTCCACCACCACCCCACCAAAAAAAAAACAATACTAACCAATTCCATAACTGCCTGTTCGTGCAATTGTATGACTGGCCGGGGACTAGTATCCGACGATACTACCAACGGTCCGCTGGTACCATGCAATCGGGGATTGGCGGCAACTATCTGCTGGTCGGTATTATTTTCCGATCTCAACCAATAGGGTATGAGTTCCTCATAGGACCAGCCTATGGCACCGTACTTTTGGGACCATTCATCATAGTGTCGCCGATTACCTCGATTATAATGCATACCATTGAACGATGACGACCCGCCCAACAGTCTACCCATATTATAGTCGACACCGACACCCGTAAAATATGGTTGCGGTTGTGTACGAAATTGCCAATCAATATCCGTTTCCAGCAAACCGTCGGCATTGGCCGGTATATCGCTGACCACTGTTTGCGGACCGCCAGCCTCAAGCAATAGTATACTATGGTCGGGTAGACTCTCGGCTAGACGTCCCGTAACAATACCGCCACCAGTTCCCGATCCAATAACTATATAGTCGTACTCTTTGTTGTTTAATAACTGGTCACCCGATTGTTGCGGTGTAACCAATCGGTTATAGTTTGTCTGCCGCTCGATGGACACCAACGATACGGTCAGCATCTGCAGTATGAGACTGATTGGCGGTTTTGCGTACATTTTTTTTGTTGTGTTGTTTTTTTCAAACAATTATTAATAATAATTAATTTAATTAATTATTTTTTTCTCATCTACTAAATAGTAATTGTTATTTAAAAAAAAAAAATTTCAATTATTATTATTATTACTAAATAAAAAAAGTTTTTTTCCGATCACTAATATTGTTCACATTTATTATTATTAATGATTAGTATTATTATTCAAAAAAATAAATTAAAATATTTTTTTAACTATTAATATATTATTAGTTATATTTAATAATAATAATAATAATAATAATAATATAGTTTTCACTGATCACTGGATTTGAATACTAAACTAATAAATGTTTTCTAACAAAATTGTTTAGTATATTGAATGCAATAATAATTTTTTTTTAAATAAATAAAATATTTTATTAATATATTATTTTTTTGCATAAAATTACTATTTAATTACTAATTTTTTTTGTTGATTTTTATTATTATTAATATACTTACAGTATATATATTAATATTATATTGTTTTTTTTGTTTGGTTGATTGGTAACACCACTGGATCTAAATTGAGGACAACTAGTTTGCATAGATATAGATAGATAGCCTCATTTATTGGACAGTTGGTTTTTATTTTCAACCACCTGGCCACCACTACCACCATCACTGGACCTGTCGCTAATCATGGGAGGGGTAGTGTTTGGGTGGGGTGTGTGTTTGTAGGACAGCCCTAATATTTTTTTTTAAATAATAATAATAAAAAATTATTTGCCCAACCCTTGGCTGGTATTATAGTTGTGGTCCTTGTGTTAAATTTGTAGTAAATTTTATATATAAAAAAAGTAGTTTATATTTAACAATAAAAAAACATATTATAATAAGTTAATTATAATACAGTAATAATAACTATTGATATATATATATATATTGTTAACAATAAAAACAAAAAAATCTATATATATAATTTTTTTCGCCAAACAATAATTATTATTAAATTTATATTATGATTATTATGATTAATACTAATATGAATAATAATAATAATAATATATTAATATATAAATTGATTGGCAAACTAACGATCAAACATTTACATTACAAAAATATAATTATCATATATATATATATATATATCAATATACTGTATATATACAGTATATTTATATTAAAACTAACTAATCATATAAATAAATACAATAATTAAAAAAAAATTATTAATTTATTGCCAATTATTAGGCTATATATTATTATACTACTACTTTAGTATGTGAAAATGTATGGATAATTATTTTAATATCATATAATTTATATGAATATATATATATATATAATTTTTTTAATATAACAAATGTGATAAAATAAGTAATAATTAATAGTTAAAACGTTAGAAAACATCAATAAGTTTTGGTAAGTTTTTTTTAAAATAATGTTTCCCAATATGTTAACTAATTAAGTTTAATATAAATTAAATAAATTTAGATCAATAATTATTACTGTAATTTACACCTATTTATATATATATATATATAACTTAATTATTATTATTATTATAAAAAAATAGATGCTATAATAATCTATAAAAAAAAGTTATAATTGTTTGCTATAATTATTATGCAATATATATTATATAGATTTAGAAAATAAATTAATTTTCAATATATTATACACCATTTTTTTAATATGTTTTTATTTATAAAAACAATTAATTTATTTATTTAGATTTTTTTGTTTGTTTTGGTTTGAATTTCTAAAAAAAAATTTCATTCAAATATTTTTACATAATATAAATATTTATTTTTAATTTTTTTCCTCTATAACAATGATTAGTTATTATTATTATTATTATTATTATTATTATTATCATGATATATATAATATAAATAATATAATATATACGAGGTTGATATTATCATTATTTATAATATTATTATTATTATTATTACAATTAATTAAATAAAATAATTACCCAAAAAAAATCTAATTTGCGTTTTTTTTTAAATAATGTTTACAATAATTTTTTTGTTTATTTAAATATAATAATAATAATTAGCGTAAATCTATTAATTTTATCAATATTAATAATTTTACCCCGATTAAAATACCAATTATTATTATTAATTATAATAATAATATAAATATTACAATAATATATATGTGTTTTTTTGTCAATTATTAATTAGCTGTTTTTGTTATTTTATTTTTGTTAAATGTTTAATTATTATTATTAATAGAAATTATAGATACTGTATATATAATATATATAAATATATATATATATATATATATATATATATATTTATATAATGTGCAACCAAATTACAAACACATTTTTTTTGTTATCAATTTAAAATTATTTTATTTATTTTTTTTTTAATTAATTATTATTATTTTTTAAAAATATTTATTTTTTTGTTGAATATTTAGTGAACACAATATTTAATTTCCACATATTTTTTTGTGCAATTTTTTTTTTGGTTGGTTGTTGTCTATATTAATTAATTAATTAATTAATTTACAATAGGTTTTTGAAAATATCATAAATACATACATTATTATTATTATTAATATATAATTATTAATATTTTTTTTAAATAATAATTATAGTTTTTTTAGTAGTCATTATATAATAATACCTAACAATGATTATAATTGAGACAACAATATGTTTCTCAACTTTGAAAATCAATTTATTATTTATAATTATTTTTTTGTTTATCAATGATTACTTTAATTTACAATCAATTTTTAGTATATTATTATTATTATTATTTAATTTTTTTTTATATAGTACTATATAAATGCAGTGAAAAAAAGTTTAATCTATTAATTTAAACAATTATAAATATTAATTACAAACAAATAATTTTTTTTTATAAAAAAAAACAAGTCCTAACTAACTATAAGTTTTTAAGTAATTATAATAATAATTAAAAACAGTTAATTAATTATTAAGACAACTGAAACAAATGTTTTTAATATTAATAATAATAACAATATAATATTAATACCAATAATAATAATAATAATGAAATACAAAAAAATAATAATTATTATTATTATTACTATTAATTATTTTATTTTTTTCAAAAAAATAATAATAACACAAAAAATCTTACGATACGCAAGAGTTTTGCATTTTTGCACCGAAAAAAAACAAACAGAAAAAACATATTATTAATAATAATAATAATAATTGAAAAATTACTAATTAATTATAATTTTAATAATAATAATAATAATAATAATAATAATAATTAACTAACTAACTACCTATATATATATATATATAATGAATGAATGATATACAAATGCAATATATATATATATATATTAATGATGATAATAATAATAATAATAATAGTACAGTAGATATAATTTACATCTATATCTAAATAGTAGTGATAATAATAATAATAATAATGTTTTAGTTTTTGGGGAAAAAAATATTTATAAAACAAATATTTTATCCAAAAAAAAAAAAATTTTTTTTAAATTCAATAATAATAGTGAAATGTATTTAATGTGAATTTGTTTTGTTTACTTATAATTACTATTTTATATATATATATATATATATATATATATATATATATATATAAATAATTAATCAATATTATTAATATATCAATTACAATATTTAGTTATTATTATTATTATTATTATTTTAGAAAAATAATTTACACTGACTTTTGTTTGTTTTGTATTTTAATTGAATTGAATTTTTTTTTCGTTTTTAAAAAATCTATTAATTTTTTTTTATAGTTTGTTTGTATTGTTTTGACATTTAAATTCATATATATATATATATACAACAAACAAAAAAAATAGTAATAATAATAATTAATTAAAAAATAATAATAATAATTAAATAGTTTTCTTCTAAACGTGTATTTCCATCCATCCATACAATCCATCCAATGAATGAATCAATCAATCAATTTGTTAATAATAATAATAATAATATTAATAATAGTTATAATTATAATAATAGTTTACACCTAAGCTAAAGCTAACTTTTTTTTTGTTTGTGAAATATATTTATATAAATATATAGTTATTTATTATACATTTAAAAAAAAGGCGACAAATTATTATTATTATTATTATTATAAGACTATTAGTAGTAATAATATTATAGAAAATAATAATAAAGAGAGAGAGAAAAAAAATTATATATTTATAATACGACAATATTATTATTAATTAATTAATTAATATTAAATAAAATTATTATTTATAATATGAAAACAATAGGTGAGACCAATGTTGTTGTTGTTGTTGTTGTGGTGAAGTTGGTGTGAATTTTTTTTATGACATTTATGTTGTTTGTTGCCTAATATACAGTAATATATATATATAAATTGAATTACAGTACAGTATATATATATATATCAATTTTGGTGGACACACACACACTCACACATACACACTAATACACACACACACACACAGTGAGAGAAAAATACGGGTAATTATTATAATTATTATCTGTTTCAATAACCGTATGGATTGTATATTGTATTGTTGTTTACCCTATTATTGTATGTTTGTTGAGGTGACGACACTTTCAAAAAACTACTATCCCTTTCCTCCTCCTCCTCCTCACACCCCAACTAACTATATCTTGCTTGTTGTAGGTCGGTCGGCGGCGGCGGCGGTGTCGGAGGCCATCAATCACTATCGCTATCATCAGATGATGACGATGAGGATGACGACGATGACGATGAGGACGAGTCGCTCAATCGAGAGGTGTTGTTGTTGTTGTTAGTGGTGTGAGTATGGGTCGAGTCGGCGGCTGCAGTGGTGGTGGTGGTGGCGGCGGTCGTAATGGACGACACATTGCTTAGACGGTGGCGACTAATATCACAGTGAGATCTCTTTTGTTGTTTGTTTGTAGTCGACGAGGACGACGATGATGTCGATGATGACAACTCTAACCCATTTGACGCTATTATATACATATATATATATATCATTATTTGTGAGTTGTTTTTTTTTATGGCCAAGTGTTTTATATATAGATATATATATATCTAAACATTTAGTAATCATTGTCTCTATATATTACCGGTATATATACGATATATATACCTATTTAGTATACATATACAGTATATCTATCCTAAACGGCTATTATTATTATTATTATCTTAAGATATATTTTTTTTGTTAAAAAATAATTATAGATGTATAATACGGGTATAGAGTTATAAATATATATATATATACTGTTTATATATACATTTTTTTGAGGTTTGATTTTTTTGTTTGGTTTTTTTTAACAATAATAATATATAAATAATAATAATTATTATTATTATTAAGTTTTTGTTTTATTATTAGTCATCCATACATTTGCTGCTCAGGGATTTCTTTACTGGTTTACTGTTCAGCATACAGGAGCTGACAAACTTTCTCAGGGCGACCAATGTTTCCGGTTTGAGTGCCTCGAAGTCGATCTCAATATTTTCGTCGTTATCGCATTTGATTGACGGCTCAGTCGACCGTAGTATACGTAAAACATTTTTCAGGTCTTTAGCTGTTCCCATACACAACAAACAAATAGACAATTAGTATCAACTAATCAACAAAAACAACAATAACATCAACAAACCATCTAAATTTTCGAGATCAGTCTTCAACAGTTGCAGATCATCCATGTCGTCAAACTGAAAGTTTACCGGCGATGGAACTGTTTGGGCCATATCCGAGTCATCCGAGTCTCTATCTTCATCATCATCAGAGTCTTCCTCCTCCTGATCCTCATCGTCGTCATCGTCATCATCATCGGACAGTTGTTGTTTTATTTGGCGATTTTGTTGTCGTTGTTGTTGTTGTCGACGTTTCTTTGCGGCCGTCTTTTTCGGCGTCGCCGCCGACCTCTTTGACGATGACTTTTTCGATGACTTATTATTATTATTACCGTTATTTACATTACGCCGTCTGATACCGCCGTTGTTGTTGTTGTTGTTGTTAGACTTTGTTGTTTGCTTAGATAATTGTTTGCCAACATCCAGGCCGGACATCAACGATATAGTATTGGTCAACAATTTTACCTGACTTTCCAATAGTTTCATACGAAGCTGACTTTCTTTGTCTAGTAGTTCGCTATCGTTACCATTGCTACTACTGTTATGGTTGTTGCTGTTTGAGTTATGGTTATTGTTTCGGCTATTGTTATGGCTATTGTTATGTTGTTGTTGATGACCACCACCACCGCCGGTAGTATTTTGATGACTATTGTGAGCGCCGTTTAGTTTTTCTTTTAGAAACTCTTCCGGTATTTTTGCGTATCGATACTCGAAATAGTCCTACAAAATAAAAAAAACAAAACAATTAATAATCAATGTATCGGTGGTTAATCGGGTGACCGGTAGTGGGTGGCCATACCCTAAGTTTGCGGGCCTGTTCCATGATCGGTGCTTCCGGTTTATTATAGCGATAGCAGTTTGATATCATTAGACGCATATCTTTTACATAATCTTTAACTGTCCGATACTGACCCGTCTCTATCTTTGTCTATTAAAACAAACAAAAAATAAAACAAATTAATTATTTAACAATAATAATAATAATAATAACAACTAAAAAAATCAATACACTATTTATATATTCACAAAAAAACAATTTATATAAACATATGACATATTATCGGAAAATTGAAAACAAAATAAAAATTATAACAATAATATACAAAAACAATTATTATTATTATTATTGTTGAATAAGTTGTTGATTAATATATATATATATATATATATATATATATATATATATATATATATATATATATATATATGTTTAACATATATTTCCGATAAAAAAATATAAATAAAATAATCTTTTATTTTTTTCTCTCAACTAAACTACAGTAGAGGTTAAAACTAAACAAAACAAAAAATAAATAAATATATATATTATAAAAAAACAGATCAATACATACACATACAGTACAATCTATATATATATATATATACTAATATACTGTATATTAATATATATAAAATTAGAGCAAACATTTACTTAATTTATTTTATATATATATATATATATTTTTTGATAACATATATTGACATTATCCTAGTGTTATCCAACACAACAACAAAATTAAATGTAAATAATCATATATTTAGAGAAAATATATAAAACAAATTATTATTATTATTATTATTAACGTAAACAGACAATTAGTTTTTTTTGAATATATAGAAAATAATTATATTATTATATAAATATGTTTTTTTTGTTGGTTATATTGAAAGAGAGAGAGAGAGAGAGAGAGAGAGAGAAAGAAAGAGAGATAATATACTGATTAAAAATTAAAGTAAATATTTATAATAAATATAACTAAAATAAAAATAGATAGAGTGCTAGGTATTTATGGGTGCAATAAAATAAATATTATTATCAATATATATATATACAGTATATTTAGTTTAAATGTTTTTAAAAAAAAAATTTATAAATTATAAAATAATTAAAAATAATAATTTGTTTCTAGCTTGTTTAAATTTATATTTATATACTCTCAATCCTATTAACCTTATAAAAAACATTATTATATACAAACATAACAAATATATAACAAAACAAATTACTATTATTATTATGTTTGTCTAAAATAGTCTATTTTAAAAAAAAAATATTATATAATAATACTAACAGTTGTGTAAAGAAACTAACAACAAAAAAATCAAATATAACACAATAATAATAACAATTATTATTATTATTATTATTGCAAATTGCAATATGACATGCAATAATAATACTGTAACATATATAACACACACATATATATATATATATACACTGTATATAAGTTACAATATGTTACAACTTTTATATACAGTACAGTACATATTTAATAGAGGAAAGTCGGTTAATAGGTACGGTACCGGTAGTCATATATTGCAAGCAAACCTGTGCTAATAATACCTGTAATACTTAATAATACTAATAACAACACATAAATACCTTAATTGTATTCAAATCGATCGGCTTTTTGACAAACTCGAGGTAATCGGGAAACTGTTGCAACGATACCGGCTCGTAGAACGGCCAGGCATAGTCCCGGTGTTTTTTGGTGAGCAACTCTTTGATAATGTCCAGACAAAACTTCATTGAGGTATTTAGGGGTACCCGACGCGGCTGAGCGGAGGACAAGGCCGACGATGATGATACTGATGATTCGCCGGGCAGTTCCCTGACGGGTCGTTTCAATTGGATACCGTGAGCGGAACGAGTGGCCAGCCGTTTGGGGCCGAAACCATTTCCTAGGAGTCCATTAACGGTAACACTGCTGGGTGTTAGACCCCCCGCAGCCGCCGTCGCCGATGTTGTTGATGATGATGAGGAGGTGGTGGCAGCGTCGGCGCCGGCGGTAACTAATTCAGAGTCGTGGAGATCTTGTGTGGACACCTCTGATCGGCGTTTGTTGGCTCTTCGCTCCACTAATTAATTAATTAATTAATTAAAAAAAACAAACAAACAATACATTAGATTATATAAGTTATATAAATATTAGTCGAAAAAAAAACTATAATTAGTAGTCAATCAATCAAATCGGAGCTTACATTCAGCTAGTGTTGGCTTCTCCGGACACGGTTTAATCTCCAGTTCCTCTTTGGGCATATCTTTTAGTTTATCTTCAAGATATTGTTCCAGTTTTTTACCGGCATTGTAGACAAAATTATCACAGTCGTTGAATTTATAACAATTGCTAAACATTAGCTTAAAATCTGATAGACAATCCCGGGCCGAATCGTACCAGAGAAACATTAGCCGACGTTTAATTGTCTGCAAATCCATCGGATTTGTTACCACTTCGTAGTAGTCGGGTATCTTTAGTTTGATACAATTGACTGGCGCCAGGAACGGTAGGGCAGCCTTATAGCGGCACAGATATTTGGTTAACATTATACGCAAATATTGCAATTGATTAGTAAAACGTAACGGTTTGTCTGATGGCGGATCAAATGGCGGTTCGACGCAACCGTCCACTAACTTCAGGCCAGCGGCCAGTTGTTGTGTTGGTGTCGATGATGATGATGGTGTTGCTGTTGTTGTTGGTTTGGGACTAGTAGTGTCCCCGCTGTCGTTGACCTCCTCATTGACCAACTCTTCCTCCTCCTCCTCCTCCTCTTCCTTCACCACACCGTTAGACGACGTAGTAGTTATCATCTGGTCTTCCATTGTATTGTTGGCCGTAGCCGTAGTACTGGGCGATGTAGGCGTTGTGGCCGTATGGCCACCAGTCGACGGTGTGGCCGCTGCACACTCGTCGCAACCTGGTTTCCGATTGTCGTGGTCTCTGTCGTCTTCGTCGTCGGCGTCCATCGGTTCGCCGATAGACGCCGACACATCGCGAAACTGGTGACGATCGGCTGCTGCAGTGGCCGCAGCTGTACAATCTTCGTTCGGACTCATCGTCACCATTAGCGGTCGCGACGATTTCAATGGTATAACCATCGGTAGTGGTGGTGTCGGTTGCGGCGACGGCGGCGGTGATGGTGACGACGACGATGATGACGATTGAATCGGATCTACTGAATCGGTTGTTGTTGTTGTTATCGGCGGTAATGTCGATTGGATGGCAATGATGTCAGTGTCCGCCACACCCCCGACTATACACTATAGCCGCGTGCGGTAAACTAGTAGTAACGGTATCGGTAGTAGTGGTCGTCGCCAATAGCTATTGGCGCCGCTGTTTGTCGCCGTGTATTATGAACTGATGGATCACTTTAGTTGATCCCTCAAAGTCTTTGTTGTTGTTGTGTTACTCTTGTTGTTGTTATTATTATTATTATTATTATTGTCGACACATGTGTTATGTTGTGTTCACTACTAAACTAATTGAGAAACAAAAACAAAAATCAATGGATTATAACAACAATAATAATAATAATATTATTATTTAATAATAATTGTATGAATAATACTGTAATAACAATGAAAGCAATGTTATTGTTGTTTAGTATGTGTTTATAAACTATGAATAGAGAGTGCAGTCATAGTATTAAACACTATATATATTGTACATAAAAAAAACTGTTACGATTATATTCAAAACCAAAAACAATAGTTTCACGAATCATAGCGCACATAGATTTATCATAGATTACACTTAATATATATACATACAAATAAAATCGTGTATATAATAACTATGTAACACATTGTCTATGCTCCGCCCCCGCCCCCCTTAAACATTAAACACTAATATTGCATATATTATATATATATATTTATTGTATACACTAATGTGTTAGTGGTTAGCAAACACACATTATTGTTTTGGTTTTGAACATAATCTATTAGATATTGCTTTATTAACTGCAAATATATCAACATAAATAACGTCACAACTAATGTATTATATATTTATATAAAAAAAATGAAAATATAGGGGAATATAAAAATAAGGGGACAATAAAATGTAAAAAAAACATTATTTATGTATTTTTTAAAAAACTAGATATTATTTAATATACAATGTAATAATTATTAATTTAATTGCATAAATAAATAATTTATTTTTTTTTTAAATATATCAACGATTGTCTGTATCAGTGATATATATATTATAGAGAGAGGGCTATGCTTTTAGGCTTAAACACTGTAATACAGTCTATATATTGATATAATGTACAAACACACAATGTGTATTATGTGTGTAAAAAACACGCATGATAATAATTATTTATAAATATATCTATATATATATATATATATATTTAAATTTTAATTTTAAAAATTTTGTTTTAATTTAATATATATATATTTATACAGTATATATATATATATAAATTTTATTTATATTAAAATGTTTTATTAATAGGTTGCTATAGTGTTAGTATAGCTTATTTTTGTATAGAGAGAGAAAGAGAGGCGTTAAATCTACCAGTGCTTTGTTTGGCTGTACTCTGTACAGCTCAGGGAGGAAAGGGAGAGAGAGAGAGAGATAGATATCAATAGTAGGGAGTGTTTGGTTTAGGCATTTTTCAATGAGACCTTCAAATACAGTGACTATAGAGTCTATTGAAAAGTTCATGGCTTACACACCAGTGTCACTGTGTGTGTGTGATGTGTGTGTAGTCAACTAAACCTAATACTACTACTACTGTACTAATGTATTGCTATATTAAAAAACTGTTTCAATTTATGCTAAACCAAAACACATAGCAGACAAATACATATATAATAGATATATCATAGATATTACACTTACTATACATACACAATATACCGGTAACTATATATAAGGTGTATATATATAAATATATATATAATAACTATACCATAGACTCCGTCCCCCTCTAAGCATAATATATAGCAATATTGCGCGCATATATACATACTATATATATATATATATATATATATATATATATATATATACTATACTTTTACACTGTTTACTATACAGCTATTAATATTTAAAGCATTATTGTTTTGGTTTAGCACAAACTGAGACTTAATTATTATTATTATTGTTGTAACAAACCATTTGTGTGCTTATAATAAGCAAACAAACAATAATAGAGAAAAAAAAAGTTATTAGCAATTAATATATATATATATATACTATATATACATACAGTGCATATAAATATACTATAAATATATATAAAATATTTTTATAACTATTATATTTAAATAAAAAAAAAATTATTTATGATTTCAAATCACATATACAGTAGACATAGACATACATACATACATACATACATACAGTACACACACACAAAACACGCGGTTTTTTTCTCTACAGTACTGTATAAGAGAGTTGTTGTATAGAAATGGAGGAAAGGGAGGGAAAGTTGTTATATAGACAGTGAGAGAGAGAGAGAGAGAGAAAGAGAGGAGAGGAGAGAGAGAGAGAGAGGAAAGTACTACTACTACTAGTAGTACTACCAGTACTTCTACTAACTATTACTACTACTACTAATACTACTACTACTACTAGAAAATATATATATATAGGACGGCATACATACCTTTTTATTTGAAAGCTGTATGAAAGCGCACAACACGACTGACTGTGCAGAGCATTGGGCGCACTATTTATATATGAAAAACGGCGCTATAATGCTGTCTCTCTCTCTCTCTCTCTCTCTCTCTATACTATACTATACTGTATTGAACTACCAGTGCTTTCTTGTATGTATGTATGACTCTCCTCCTAAGCTAGAGATATATATAGGGACAGCCATCTAATGGCAATGGATGGCTGTCCCTCTCTCTCTCTCTCTATAATACACGTCATACATGTTTTTTTTGGTTGTTGTAATATTGCTATAGATATATGAAATTTTTATAATTATTATTAATACAGTATTATTATAATATTATAAACTTTTACTTATAAAATATTTTTTGTATTACATTTAAAAATATATATATATATATATTCCGTATAGTTATTAAATAGGTTTATAAATTTTTCTAAATAATTATATTAATATACATTTGTATTTATATTGTGTGTGTGTATGTATGTATGTGTGTGTGTGTGTGTGTGTGTGTGTGTGTGTGTGTGTGTATGTATGTGTGTGTGTATGTGTGTGTGTATGTGTGTGTGTATGTGTGTGTGTATGTGTGTGTGTATGTATGTATGTATGTATGTATGTATGTATGTATGTATGTATGTATGTATGTATGTATGTATGCATGTATGTATGTATGCATGTATGTATGTATGCATGTATGTATGTATGTATGTATGTATGTATGTATGTATGTATGTATGTATGTGTGTGTATAGTGTGAGATAAGACCCCCCCCCCAAAAAAACACGTTGTCTTTGAAATTATTAAAAAAAATAATTTTAAAATTATAATTAATGAAATGATTTTTTTCATATAATAAACTCTTTTTAAAAAAAAAACATTATAAAACTTATTATCATTATTATTGCTAAATACCAATATATAGTATGTATTGATAGATATAAAAAAAATATATATATATATACCGTATGTGTTGTTTGTACCCATGGGTACCAATTTAAAAGCACCGGTAGTCAGCATCATCATCATCATTGATCAATGTGATGGTGATGGTACCTACCGGTGCCCTCTCCACCCTATCTACCGACCAATGGCCATATCGGCAGTAGTAGTAGTCATAGCTGGCTATCAATTAACACTACTGGTTGTAGTGTTTGGTGGTTATCCTAGAGTCGGGTATCGGCAATGGGGTTGGGGTTGTCCCCAATCATATTGAGAAGTGACGGTTGAATTGTTTGAAGTAAATAATATAACAAATTTTTAGTTAAAAGTTGTAAAAAAAATTATTAGTTATTAGTTAGTTAACACTTGATTTATTTAATTATTTTATTTATTTATTATTATTATTATATATCATATATATTTAGTATATGATTTACGGCCCCATTATTATTATTACAGTATTATTGCGGTTACTATACGATAGTGTATTATAATAGTATAGTTAATAATTATTTAAAAAATTATTAAATAAATAAATAAATAAAAATTAATTATAAATAATAATAATAAGGTTGTCATAGATATATCATGATATTTAATAGTTATTATTACATATACATGTAGTTTATTATATGTATTACATTATTATTATTAAATTTAATTCACATATAATAATATCATATACTAGTAGTAGTAATAATATATGATTCATACATTATCTATGTATTAAATACCATGTGATTTAATTATATATATATTTATTTTATTTTAGTTTATTTAATGATGATGTGTAAATATAATACATGTAGAAAAATAAATAATAATAATAATAATAAAAATTTAGCAAGCTAGATAATACTGTAGTAGTAATAATAATAATTTTTTTTTTTTAAATTAGCAAGCTAGATAATAGTAATAATAATAATTAATAAAAAATATGTTTTTCATAGTACACATTGATAATAATTATTATTATGATATTATTTAATGATAATTATTATTAGTTAGTATACTTGTGTGTATATACTGTATATAATACTTAATGCAATTTATTTTCCGGTAATTTTATTATTATTATTATTATTATTAGTTATTAGTAGTAATTATTATTAGTTGTGTAAACACATATTGATATTAGTTTTTTGTTTGTTTGTTATTGAAATTGAAGTTTTCAAATACAATACAATAATTAATAATTAGAAAATTATTAATTTTCTAATAAACTTATATAAATTTTAACAATAGATTTATTTTATATATAAATACTAATAATAATAATAATAAATTAGTTGACCTAGACATTATAATTAGGTTTGAATTAATTGGGGAAAAATTGGTGAGGGGGTAGGGTGAGCGGGTGGCGGGGGGGGGGGGGTTTATTAGCTAGATGATCCTGCAAAAATTTTTTTTATGGTTATGATGATGATGACCTAAATTATATACTTATATATGTACTGTATATATATATATATATATATATATATATATATATATATACAATATATATTGTATAGACAGGTGCAAAAAATATCACTCATATTATATGAATCACTGAAAAAAATTATTATTATTATTATTAAAAGTCATTAAAGTATTTACCGGCAAAAAAAAGTTTTGTTTATTGTGTTGTTTTTTTAAATAAATTTATTTATTACCTATCAGTTTATATAGAAATTGATATTATTTTTTATAATAAATTTTGTTTTGTTTTGAAATATTGCTATCGATATATGAAATTTTATTATTATTACTATTATTATTAATATGATTATAAACTTAACTTTTTAAAAAGTTTGCATTACCTTTAAATATATTCTCTCTCTCTCTCTCTCTCTCTCTCTCTCTGTGTGTGTGTGTGTGTGTGTGTGTGTGTGTGTGTGTGTGTGTGTGTGTACTGTATTTATAAATAGGTTTATAAATTTCTAAATAAATATATTTATATACATGTGTGTGTATTTATAGAGTATATATATATATATATGTGTGTGTATGTATGAATGTGTGTGTGTGTGTGTATGTATGTATGTATGTATGTATGTATGTATGTATGTATGTATGTATGTATGTATGTATGTATGTATGTATGTATGTATGTATGTATGTATGTATGTATGTATGTATGTATGTATGTATGTATGTATGTATGTATGTATGTATGTATGTATGTATGTATGTATGTATGTATGTGTGTGTGTGTGTGTGTGTGTGTGTGTGTGTGTGTGTGTGTGTGTTATATAATATATATGTGTGTGTATAGTGTGAGATGAGATCCCAACAAAAAACACGCTGTCTTTTTAAATTTTTCAAAAATTAATTTGAAATTATTAATAAACTTACGGGACATTAATATATAAAAAACTAATAATTATTATTATTATTGCTAAATACCAATGTATTGATTTTGATATAAAGTATATATCAGTTTACAATAATATACCGTATGTGTTGTTTTTGGGGATACGAATTAAAGCACCGGTAGTCATCATCATCAATGGTGGTACCGGTGCCCCCCCTCTCTACCAGTATATTATATTTAATAAAATAAAAATTAATTAACTATTGATATTTAAATTTTAAATTTTAAATAATAATTTATTTCATATATTTTTTTATTTTAATTATAAATTTTGTTTTAGTAGTATTTTTTGTATTGTAGTAGTAATTCACAAATATTTTTACACACATATACAGTATATATTTATATAAACTTTTTTTTAATTTAAGATAAAATAAATTAAATATTTTCAAAATAACAAATGTATTGCAAATTTTTGTGTAGTAATTAAAATATTTATATTAAAAAAAATTATTATTATTATTTTTACCGGTAATACTATAATAATAATAATAATATTTCAATTTCGGTATTACCGTAATATACTGTATATATACTGTATATAATTAATAATTGATTTAATTGACTTTAAATAATATACAGTATAGAAATATATAACTTAAATAAAATATAATTTTCTATATATATAAATTTTAATTACTATATACTAGTATATATATATTGACAATAATTAAATTAAAAATTTTCATTTACTGGTAATTACAAAATTGTATTTAAAAAAAAAACATTTAATAATAATAATAATAATAAACAAGTGGTAGAATGAAATCTAATAATAAAAAATATAAATTATAAATCCGATATATACACTGTATATCGTAGTAAACATAAATTTTTTAATATATATATATATATATAAATTAATTGCCAATAATTACCAATCATATATAAATTTATATATTAATATATATATATTCTCTAAACAAAATTTAAAAAAAAAAACTTTAAATAAATTCATATTTTTAAAGATATATAACGAAACAATAATTATATATATATATATAAATGATATTTATATGTTCACAGAAACACAAACAAACAAAAAATAATTGATATTTGCGGTCAAATTGTATCAACAAATTAGTGGTAATAATAATAATAATATTATTATTATTTTTTTAAGTCCATTGCATGGCTTGTTGTTGTTGTTGTTGTTGTGGTGGCGATGATAATGGTAGACAATCGGTGGTAGCAATAGATGATGAGGAGGAGGAGGAGGTTAGTAGTGTAGGTAATGGTTGTGGTATACTAGTAGTAGTAGTAGACTGTGACCGACCAATGGCACCGACCATATCGGGAGTTGTACTCATAGATGCTATCATTAGCTGATGTTGTTGTTGGTGTTGTTGGTCATCCAGATTATGTCTAGACTTTTCCTTATGATTGCGCAACTTATCGGGCCGGGCAAACGATTTGTCGCAACCAATGTAATCGCATTTGTACGGCCGTTCACCAGTATGTATGTACTGATGACGTAGTAGATCGGCATTGGCCAGACTACGGTAGCCGCAACCGGGCCAGTCGCAGGCAAACGGTTTGACAATCGGATCCTTATTGTGGGCGACTTTCTTGTGATGGCTTAGTTTGTCCGGTCGCGAGTACTTACGGTCGCAGCCGTCGACATCGCATCTAAACAAACAAATCAAAAAAAACAAAAAAAACAATTGATTTTTAATAATTTTCATTATATATTATTATTATTATATGTATGTATAAAATATGTGATAATATTAATTGTTAAATAATTACCAAAAAAAGTTTCACTTAATAAATATAAAAATCTACTAATAATTTATTTTTAAAAAAAATCATTTACTAAATACTATTATATATATATATTTAAAAAAAAACTGTCAATACATTTATAAGGTAAGGGTGTCGTCGGACTATTTTTTAAAACAAAACAACAATAAAAAGGTACCGGGGTGGGGGTAGGGGTGTACAACACTATTAGATAGGGGGGTGGAATGGTAGTTATTATTATTGGTGTGTGTGTGTTTTGCGTACATTTTATGAACTTTAAACTTAGCAAACAAACAATTTTTCTCAATTTGTTTTTCCTCAAACAATATTTAACTTATTATTATTATTAATACAAAATATAATAATAATAATCAGTAAAATTTGTTTTTCTCGGCAAAAATAAATGTAATTTTCTCTCTCTCTCTCTCTCTCTCTCTCTCTCTATGAGTTGTTTTGTGTGTTTGTCTTTTTAGTTTACTTTTATAGTACAGTATATTTGCTTTTGTATTATAAAAATGCAATACAAATAGCAAATAGGATTTTATATATATATATATATATATATTATTTTGGAGATTACATCGAGTATTATATTATATTTTTTTTTAGACTATACTGTATATTAGGATCAATACCTGAATATATTTACCTGCAATTTAATTAATATGCATAATGAAAAAAAACTACAGGTACACTACAAATGTATATATATAATGTATATAAGTTATATATGTAAATATTTATCGCATACAAACAAAAAACACAACAACAACAACAAAAAAAAGATATTTATATTAAAATAAAACTCACAAAAAAATCACAGATAAATATCATATCGACTTTTTTTTGTTGTTGTTGTTGTTTAACACAAATACAATATTACGGGTAAAATATTAATAGTTTTTAAAAAAAAAAAAATGTGTGATAAGGTTTTTTTTGTCATATAATTACGGTATGTTTTTAAACTACTAAATGATAACTGATTACTGATAGGTAAAGTAAGGAAAGGTAGTATTAGTAGTAGTAGTACTGGACATACTGGTAGGGCTTTTCTCCAGTGTGTATCATACGATGACGGTTCAGGTCATTGTTAGCTATGGAACGGTAGCCACAGCCGGGCCCTAATTGAATCCAAAAAAAAAACTATTAAAAATCAATTTTTTTTTTAAATATTTAAAATACAGTCTTACAGTCGCACATATATGGCTTCTCCGATGGATCCTTATGTACATAACGGTGTCGATTGAGTTTATAGCCGTTTTTGAAACTTTTTCCGCATTCAGGACACGTATAGATCTTAGTCTCGCGTCCGGTCGCCGCCGCCGTTATGGTCGTCGACGAAGCCGTCGCCGCTGCTGCCAAAGATTGAGTCGCCGACGACAACTGTTGTTCCGATTTGACATTCATCAACATTCTGGACAATTGTCTGGCAGTTAGTTGGCCACTACCCGCGCCGCCACCGCCGATACCCGTTTTACTAGTGTTTTGTTGTTGATGATGATGATGATTATGGTTACCGATAATCGTTGCCGTCTGCAAATAGATCAACTCTTTTGTTTCATCGGCCGATTGTCTGTCCAAACTGTCGCACATGGCGTTCAATTGGTCGATCTCCGATCGTAACAGTTCGCCGCGTAATCGATTAGAATTTCTTTGGCCAACAAACTCTGTCTGCAATAGTTCCATCAGATTGTCCACTAGTAGACACCCGCCGCCGCCTCCGCCAGCGTATTGGTTGTCTTCATCATCAGCATTGTCATCATCATCATTGTCCAAATGTTTTTCAAAATCCGACAAATAGATCCAAGCAAAATCAAAATAATCGATTAGTTTGCTGGAAAATATATGCCGTACTTTATACATGATGACCATCATTAGCAATACTATTAACTTGAGATTGTAGGCCACTGCCACCAATCTATCATTGTTGTTGTTGTTGTTGGTGGTGGTGGTGGTGTCATTAAGCTCATCAGTATTACTATTATTATTTAAATTTAATGGTAGATCACTGTGCAATGATGGTGATGATGATGATGATGGTTGTCCTCCTCCTACACTACTAATACCATTGTTAGTCCTATTATGGGTAGTAATAGTAGTACTACCAGTATCTATAATTAAATTATTATGTGTCAAATCATCTATGATTTGTTGTTGTTGTCGATCACTACTACAGGTACTGTTGTTGGTATTGTTGTTGTGATTATCACTTGTTGTATCCATGGATTGAAAGCTATCATTATCATCATCATCATCGGTATTACTGGTTATGGCACTAGTAGTCTGTGTTATAGTAGGTTCACTGCAAGTGGAAAACATTTGTGATATAATATCTTGTGCTGTTGTTGTGGTGGTGGTGGTGGTAGCTGTTGGTGATGATGATGATGTCGATGATGGCAATTGTTGTAGTCTATTATAATGATGACAATGAAGATTGTTAGTACTACTATCACCGGTTGTAGTGGTAATGTCTTGGGTATCCATACTATCGGTAACAGTATTACCGCCACCGCCGCCGTTATCGATACCATCGTTACCATTATCTGTGGGTAACATCATCTGTGGTTCTCTCTTGACTTTACTATAACTAATACGATAGGATCTGATGTTTGTTGTTGTTGTCGGTGTTGTTGGTGTTGGGACACCAATTTGCTGCTGTTGTTGTTGTTGTGTCAGTTGTCGATTGGTGTTGTTTACATCACCTACTGATCCATCATCACCATCACCGGCCAAAATCGTAAAGTCCACGCAATTGTCTAAGAAGTTTCTATGATAATAGTTTTGTAGCCATTTTTGTACTTTCAGTAACTTGTCGTCGGTTTTGTTTATAGCTTTAAGTGAAGAGAGAGATAGAGAGGAATAAAACAAAAAGGATTAGACATTAATTGAAAGACATTTATCGGTAAATAAACAAAAATTAATGATTGAAGTAATGAATCAATTGATTTTGATGTCATCACTGATGAGCTGAGGAGGAAAGACATACCAAACTTGAGATTATATTTGAAACACTGATCAAAATGATGGATCAGATCGACAACAATGTCGATAATCGGCTGTCGATTTCGGGCATCGATGGCCTCAATCGGTTCGATAGGCGGGGCCGCCGGTGTCTGCAGCGGCGGTGGCTTTGTCTTTGTCAGGTTTCTGGTTGGCGGTCGTCCTTTTTGTCCGGTTCTGATCGGCGGCGGCGGCGGCGGCGGCGGCGGCGTCGCTGACGGTGGTGGCATAGCTCGCGAGGCCGCCGACCGGGCGGCGGCGGCGGAGCTACCGATTAGGTCCTGATTGACAAAATTCAATAACTTTAGCAACGCTTTGTGGTGTATGTCCTCGAAGACAAACATCGGCGGCGGCGGCCGAGGCGGTCGAGTTGCCGAAGTGTTGGCGGTTGCGCTTATGTTGTTGTTGTCCATAATCGGGTGGTCGACGGCGGATCCAATTGGTGACCAATAAATGTTTGGTCACATTATTATTATCATCGATAGTAAGTATATGTATATATAATAATAACCATTAGATTACAGTTTATAAATACAGTAATAATAATAATAATAATAATAATAATAATAATAATAACAATAATAATAACAATATTATTATTAATTAATATTAATCAAAAAAAAAATTAAATAATTTTTTTTTGGTACTTTTTTACATAATAGAATCAATAGGTAATTAACTAGTAATTCTGAATGTGATAAATAGTACTGAAAATACTGTTGTTTTTTTTTACTACTGTATTATATACAGTACTGTAAATTATTTTTATTAATTTATATATTAATTTAATATCTATCTTATCGGGTAATAAATAATGTTTCTAATATATTAATACCCCCCCAACCATTGGTTTTCTACTATTTATACCACCCCCTTATTGGGACGTTATTGATGACTAATGTAAAGTCTATGGTATTATCTAAATATAATTATATAATTTTTTTTTAATATTATATAAAACTGTATTTAAAAATAAATAAAAAAAAAATTTTGTTTTTGTAAACAAATCACGTCTTCATTAGTCGTGTTGTTGTTGTTGTTGTTGTGGATAATAATCACATGTTTTTTTTTGGTGATCACTGACCTTATCGGACACTAAATGGCCACTAAATTTCGGTAAAAGCCGAAGAGAGAGAGACAGCAATGAGCTCAAGAGGTAACGACGGCGATGATGGTGACCACAAGCGGTCGCCGCCGCCGCCGTCGGCAACAGGAGACGGATGGTTACCGAAAGAAGATCCCGATTTCTTTGATGATCTCGAACCAGACTATCGACAGCCAGTAGATCCGCCAAAAGTCAAAATACATTCACCGTTTTTGTCGCCCGACGATCCCTATCGGGTACGTCATAAACCGTCGGCGACGGCTGCAGCGGCAGCGGCTGCGGCTGCGGCTACTGCCGGACGACAACGACGACATATATTCGGTACAAATCCGACGCCCGTACAGCAACTGTTGGGACCACCTGTACCGCCGCTACCGTTGCCGCCAAATAGTTATCATCAGAAACCGAAATACTGGCAAACAAGAGGCACCGGTATGTCTAGTGATGTCTTTCCCCACCCATTCTCTCTCTCTATCTCTGTCTCTCTCTCTCTCTCTCTCTCTCTCTCTCTCTCTCTCTCTCTCTCTCTCTCTCTCTCTGTCTCTCTCTCTCTCTCTCTCTCTCTCTCTCTCTCTCTCTCTCTCTCTCTCTCTCTCTCTCTCTGTCTCTCTCTCTCTCTCTCTCTCTCTCTCTCTCTATCTCTCTAACTCTGTCTCTCTCTCGGTCTCTCTCTATCTCTGTCTCTCTCTATTTCTGTCTCTCTCTATCTCTCTCTCTCTCTCTATCTGTCTCTCTCTCTCTCTCTCTCTCTCTCTCTCTCTCTCTCTCTCTATTTGTCTGTCTCTCTGTCTCTCTCTCTCTCTCTCTCTCTCTCTCTCTCTCTGTTGACCCGATAATCGATGACCACTCTAACCACTTCTACCTACCTTACCGTCAATATATATATATTTTTCCATAGGTCACATGCAACAGACCAATCGTATTATTCTCGGTTTTATGGTCGCTGTCGGCCTGGTTAGCTACGCCCTGGACCGATGGTCAGGTATACCCGAACGTTTCAATTGGGGCCGTCGCGACACCCGTGCCGATGTTATCGAACGACGCGAAGATCTACAACTGCTGGCCGATCTGATGAGAAAAGGTGTATCACCTGATGATATGGAAGTGGCACCCGATCGCCGACACTATCGCAATCCCCGGCGCCAAGAGGATCGGTTACGTTGGGATTTCCGTGAAATCGATAAACGTATGGCCGGTTTGAAACATATGCAAAATCCGGTTAGTTTGGATCCAAAATAATTTTGATGGATGGATGGTTGGATCCGATCCGATCGGTTAGGTTTTATATCACTCAGTGACCCAATCATTACCGCACTGATGATAATAGACTGTATATACAGTATATATATAACACCCAAAATAGATAGTCATTTACAGTACAGATAATTAAGGAAATGTTGTTTTTTTTATTTAGTTATTTATAAAAAAAAGAGATGATATAATAATAATAATAATAATATTAAATATATAGTGATTTGTTTTATAATAATAATAATAAAAAGTTTGCTAATTATAATGATTTTGTTTGTGTGTGTGATTGCTGTTGTCATTGGTGTCGGTGTTGGTGGTAGTGGTGATGATGAGGGGTAGGGATCAAGTTTGCGACTCTTTAATCAGTACGGCCGTACCGTTTCTAACCGAAAAAGTCCAATAATGTTTGTCCGAACAGGTGACCGAACA